GATCCTATGCCTAACAGCAGTCTGGCATTTCTAAACTGCGTTTGAGGGAGATACTTCTTTCTTTTTTAAGAGCATGTGTGATGTTCTCTGTTGAATAAGTTTGGGAATTGTGTTAACAAAAATAGGAAGGCCATCATTGACCACAGAAGTGGTAGTTTCAAGTGTACACATGGCTTGTGGATTGATGAAGCAAGGACCTATTCAGCATATTTTCCAGGTTAATGTGATTACAGGGAAGCTGAAAGAAGTGGCTATGCAATCAGCTTTCTGTTCCCTCCAGATGTTAGCATGCACCAGGAAGCACAGGAGTTGAATGGAAGTAAAATAAAGCCAGAAACTTTCAATTCTAGAACTGACTGGACAATGTTATCGCTGACATGCTACACTGATATCAGAATTGCAGAAAACAAATGTTTCTTGTTTATTTTTTGAAGCTTCTTTCTCTTTATTGTTTTTCCCCCTTCATTTGGCCATTCATACTTGTATTTTATTTTATCTGTTCACATGTGGTATTATTTACCATGTAAGAAATTTTAAAAATGCATAGAAAACATAATAATACGTAGGTTTTGCCTTTTGGCTCTTTTTGAGAAAGGAGACTAACGGAGGTTCAACTCTCCATCCTGATTGCTTTCAGGTATACGACTTGTGGCAAGGTGTGTCCGGAATTGCTGGGTTCTTGGTCTCACTGACTTCAAGAATGAAGCCGCAGACCCTCGCAATGAGTGTTACAGTTCTTAAAGATGGTATGTCTGGAGTTTGTGCCTTCAGATGTTCAGATGTGTCTGGAGCTTCTTCATTCTGGTAGGTTCTTGGTCTTGCTGACAGGAGTGAAGCTGCAGACCTTTGTGGTGAGTGTTACAGTTCATAAAGGCAGCATGGACCCAGAAAGTGAGCAGCAGCAAGATTTATTGCAAAGAGCGAAAGAACAAAGCTTCCACAGTGTGGAAAGAGACCCCAGGGTTGCACTGCTGGCTTGGGTGGCCTGCTTTTATTCCCTTATCTGACCCCACCCACATCCTGCTGATTGGTCCATTTCACAGAGAGCTGATTGGTCCGTTTTGACAGAATGCTGATTGGTGCATTTACAATCCTTGAGCTAGACACAGAGTGCTGATTGGTATGTTTACAATCCTTGAGCTAGACACAAAGTGGTAGAAAGAAAAGTTCTCCAAGTCCCCTCTAGGTTAGCTAGATACAGAGTACCAATTGGTGTATTTACAAACCTTGAGCTAGACACAGAGTGCTGATTAGTGTATTTACAATATCTTAGCTTGACATAAAGGTTCTCCAAGTCCCCACTAAATTCAGAAGACCAGCTGGCTTCACCTAGTGGATCTTCCACCTGGGCTGCAGGCCAGCCCAGAGCCCCGCCCGCTGCTCATCAGCCCTTGGGCGGTAGATGGGACCGGGCCCCATAGAGCAGCGGGCAACGTCCATGGGGGAGGCTGGGGTCCAGCGGCATCCCGCTGCAGAGGCAGGGCTGGGACATGGCGGGCAGCAGGTCCGGAGCCCTGTCCAGCCACGAGGCAGCTAAGTCCTGGGGAGAACTCCAGCCACAATGCCGGCCCCCCAGTACCCTCTGCAGGGGCTGGCCGGTGTGCTAAGGCCCTCACTGCCCCGGGCCGGGGTGCAGGCAGGCCGCAGCTCCTTGTGCCTGTGTGCAGGGTCCACGTAAACCATGCCTGCGCTCGTGGAAACTAACGCCACCCGCTAGCCTGCGTCCAGCACCTATTCCCGCCCCCCGCCTCTCCCTCCACACCTCCCAGCAAGCCGTGGGAGGCGGCTCCAGCCTCCGCCAGCCGAGAGGGGGGCTCCCACAGTGCCTTGGCGGGCTGAAGGGCTCCTCAAGAGCTGCCAGAGTGGACGCCTAGGCCGAAGAGGCTCTGAGAGTGAGGGCTGCTAGCAAGTTGCCACCTCTCAAAGGTACCTGACTTACCTCAAGCTCCATTTCTTTTTTTCTGTAAGAAGCAGCACTCTACTGTTTACCTTGCAAAGTTGCTGAGCTAATGAAATAAGATCATTTATAAAATTGTGACTACGTCCTAATTATATGAAAGACTGGTGGCTATTACAATAGTAGTTATGAAACAATGAGCCAGTTGTAACCATGAACAGCTAATCACTGTTTCACCTCAGACTCACAGCAGGTGCCCTTTATAATAGACTTCTGAAAAGTGATCAGAGCACCAAATAACTTGAATGAGATGTGACAGGACTAAGAGCCTTGCAGGTGGGCATGTAGTTTGTTCAGAAGCAGCGATGATGCAAGGCACACATTAGAGATGGCACGCAGCACTCTGCATGGTGAACTCCAGCTATGATTCTATTCAAGGAGAGACACTTCAGCGGGTAGTGCCAGTGGGTGCCCCTCATTGTGAATGTGGTGCAAGACACTGTTGAGGCCCAAGATGCTGGCATCCCCAGTTGTATCCATCATGGGTGCATGGACCCCTCACAGGTCCCGGAGGGAGGGGGCTATGCCAGAGGAAATATCAGGAAGGAAAGAAAAAAGGAAAAGAGGGAGGGAGGGCACGAGAGGGGGGAGTCAGTTTAGGAGGAAAGGAAGGGAAGGAAGCAGAGACGGAAGAAGTCAAGGAAGAGGATAGGAAGGAAGAACAACTGGAAAAGAGAGGAGGGAAGGAAGAGAAGGAAGCAGACAGCAAGAGAAGAAAGAGAGTTGAGGAGGAAGACAGGGAAAAAGAGAAGAAGGAAAGGAAGGGCAGGAAGGATATAGGGAAAGCTGAGGAGGAGGATAGGAGGAAGACAGGGAAAGAGAGGAGAAGGAACAGAAGAAAGGACAGAGGGAGAGTAGAGGAGGAGAGCATAAAGGAAGGCAGGGAAACAGAGAAGGGGGAAAGGAAAGGAGGCAAGAAGAGAAGGAGGGAGTCAAGGAGGAAGGCAGGACAGAAGACAAAGAAAGAGAGGAGGAAAGAAAGGGAGGGAAGGAGAAAGGGAGGGAGTCTAAGAGGAAAAGAGAAAACAAGACAGAAAAAGAAAAGGAAGGGATGGAAGGAGAAAGCGAGAAAGGGGCAAACGAGGAGCGAACTGTTTGGAGTTAGGAATCCTAAATCCTAGAACAATACGACATTAATGTGTTTTTGATGCCACCATACTGTAGTTTACTGGATTATATCAATTGTATCTTACAGTTGCCAGGAAAAGCAAATTATTGTCCCACAGGGAAAACAAAATTGTACAAAAATAAACTATAATTCATGGATGGAAATGCTTCTATGTCCATCTTTGGCTGTTGGAGAATTATGAAAAGCCAAAAGCTAACTTGTTATATGTGTACACACCACATCATTAGAACAAAATTTTATTCTTTTCCAATCTAGCTTGTGACAGAGAAGCATTCAGACGTTTTGTTTTCTTAAGCAGAGGAGCCTTCTGTCTTATGCAAAGACATGTTACTAGAAAGCGTAGAATCTAAAACTTATTAAAAAAATGATGTGAACTATGTTTTCATATCTGTGAAGAGCTTAAGTACATAAGGTTTCCCAATCTGTCTCTTCTACAACTGCTGTGAGGCCTTGTCATTTCATCAAATGGCACTGGGGCCTTTTTCCTCTTTGAAAAATACTTTATGAACCTAATGATTAAACGGAAATATAACATGGTTATGATACCAAAAAATAATAGTAATTATGATATGTGTGCATCCTTTTGTTTCCAGAGAATAGAAAGAAACTGGGAGGCAGAATTCTTAAGACTCCAGGTGGCAAATACTGTCATACTTACTGCAGATACCACAGCAGTGTGGGTGGAATGCATCCATTATGGAATTGTGTGCCACAAAAATATATGTTGGAGTCCTCTTCCCCATTACTTCGGAATGTGACCTTATTCGGAAACAGGATCTTGTCAGAGGAAATAAAATTGAAATGTGTCATTAGGGTTGTCCTTAGTCCAATAAGACTGGTGTTCTTTTAAAGGAGAAAATTTGGTCACAGAGATACACATAGATGCAAGATGACAGGACAAGTTACAGGGAAAGGAAAGCCACGGTCAAGGGGTGAGGAGAGAGGCCTGGAGTAAGTCCTTTCCTCACAGCCCACAGAAGGAATTAAGCGTGCTGACATCTTGATTTGGGACTTTTGGCCTCCAAATCTGTGAGACAATACATGTCTGCTGTTTAGGTCAGTTTGTAGTACATTACCATAGCAGTTATAGCCAACAAATACAGAAACCATTAGTAACTGCATTTGAGTCACAAGTTCCTTCCTAATTTGCTCATAACTTGCCTTCTCTGAAATCCAGTCCTCAAAGGGAAATCACGACTGCATTAAAGGGTGAAGCTCTCTTATAGTATTAGCTCTAAAAACACATAATTTTATTGACTATATACTATGTATTAGTACAAAGGGCTTGACCTGCCTCACCTCCTGTATAACCTCCATTTTCACCCAGGAGGAAACAGATACAGGGGCACTTTGTCTATCACAGGTGATAAGCGTTCTTGCTGAATCTAGGGATACCCCCATCCACTACGTAGGCACTAAACTAGAAATATACCCTAATGTTTTTACACCTGCATTTTTTGTCTTTTCCCCCTTTTGTGGAGAATGGGGTCTTGCTATACTGCCCAGGCATGTCTTAAACTCCTGGGCTCAAGCTACCTTCCAACCCCCACCTCCATCTCCTTAAGTACTGGGATTGCAGGTGTGAGCCACTGCGCCCAGCATACTGATGTTTTTGTGTTTTTTTTCTTTGAAACGGAGTCCTGCTCTGTCGCCCAGGCTGGGGTGCAATGGCGCAATCTCGGCTAACTGCAACCTCTGCCTCCCAGGTTGAAGCAACTCTCCTGCCTCAGCCTCCCGAGTAGCTAGGATTACAGGACTGTGCCACCACACCCAGCTAATTTTTGTATTTTTAGTAGAGACGGGGTTTCATCATGTTAGCCAGGCTGGTCTTGAACTCCCAATCTCAGGTGATGCACCCGCCTCAGATTCCCAAAATGCTGGGATTACAGGCATAAGTCACCACGCCAGGCCACATTTGTTGTCTTAAAGATTTATTATTTCCGCTTCCCAAAGGGCCAATCCTTGTCCTTAAACATGAATATACCATATAAAAGAACACGAAATAGAAACAGGGACAAAAAAGAATTTTTCCAACGATGGCTAAAGGAGAGAGAGAAATAAAAGCTGTTGAGGTTACATTTGAAAAGTTTAAAAAGGAAGAAAACTCAGAGTATACCAAAAGGCAGACAATACCTAAGAAGGAATAACCAGCCAGACATGTTGACGGTTAGTATTATTTCAGCATCCTCCTTACGCAGCCTGGCTTTGCTCTGGGGCTAAGCACCAGCCAGGTACAGAGGTTGCGGAGTCTCTCCGCACACTGCTCATGCGCGGCCGCCGCTCAGGTCGCAGTTCTGGACCACGGGGCCCGTAGGCCAAGAGGACAGAAACCCACCCACGGTTCAAGGACTTGCATTCCAGGCTCGGGCGAACCACCCGTGACGAATGTCATTTGTCTGCAACCTAATGGCTCGCAGTCATGCCGCCCTGAGCATCTTCAACTCCCTCTCCCCAGTCGACAGCCCCTTGCATGGTCCCTCCATTCTCCTTCACACCCTTGATCCAACTGGAGCAGTCAATTTGCTCCCGGCGAGGGCCTCGGCTCTGCGCGGCCGCTGGTTGACTAGCTTGGCCCAATTCCATTGTGAAGTGAGAAGGAATGGATGCAGGTAAAAGCTTCGCGCCGCTCGCACAGCATCCCGGGTCTGCCGGGGCTACAGCGGCTAAAGCCCGAGGTGCGCGTGCGCGAAGCAGCACTAGGCAGCCCAGGAGGCGGGGGCTACTAGCAGGTGGAGGGGCCGCCCCATGCGCATAAGCAGAGCCTCCAGGGACGCGCGAGGAAGTCCTGAGTGCGCGTGCGCGGGGGGTGGGGTGGGGCGGCTGCAGGCGCACTTCTTTTTCTGCACCACCCATACCCAGAAGGCCGTAATGGGGCTGTGTCCACGCTCTCGCCCCGGAAGCAGCCCTTCACCCACCTCATCTCTGACATGGAGGGACTTCTTGGGTAGTCTGAGGCCACCGTCTCTCGTGAGGGCGGTCTTGTGTGGGCGTCGGGACTGTCGGCGGGGGGTACGTCACGGCTGGGTTCCCGCGACTGGGCGGTGTTCGAGCCAGGGACCCGCCGGCTACCGTGCGCTGTGCAGGGAGCAGGCCCCAAGGTGGAGCGGTTGCCAGCAGCGCCGGCAGGCTGGGCTGGTGGCCAGTGGTCGCGGCGTCTGTGAGGTCCTAGCACCTGCTTCCGGTCGCCGTATGCGTGGGACCGGAGCACATAGGTGCGGTACCTTGGGACTACCGGGAGGGCGCGGGGCTCTGCGTCCTCTACACAGAGCGGGATGGGTCCGTACTTCTGTCCTCTCTTTTGTTACCCAGGCATGCGGCCTTGAGCGGTGCCCAGCCTTGAAGTGTTGCACCTCACACTTGAGGGCATTAGCTGTGGGTATCTGGCCGCAGACCCTGACCCAAACCAGGTATGAAGAAAAGGTAGGCTTGAGAGAAGGTGCTGCTTTACCGGTCCAACAGAGTGTCCGAACTCCTGCCTCAGCATCCGGAGTAGCTGGGATTATAGGACTGCGCCTCGCACGCAGCTAATTTTTGTATTTTTATTAGAAATGGGGTTTCACCATTTGTGCACACCAAGAGATGTTTGTCACTGCGGCGGCCGTGAACAGCTCGCACTGCACTCCAGCCATTTATTATTTATTTCGTATACAATTAACGACACAAGCTTTGAGTAAACAAGCTTTGAGTAAACACACTTGTGGATAATTGACGTGGTTAAGAGAATAGTTCTAGGAATGATTACAGCTCAGGTATTGAGGTCTAAGGCAAATACCATTAGGGGGCAGTCTCCCTAGTCAGCCTCCCCCAAAGAGGGCCATCTGGCTCCAAGGTTAGTTAATGGAGGTAGGGTAAACAGACTTAACTGGGAAGCCTCTATTGCCGCTAGTATTTACTCTATGACCTACTGCTGTAAGGTGAGAACCGGCCGCCTTTAGCCTGTTCAGTTATTTCAGCCGTCCAAAAATGTTTGTGACTATTCCCTATAACTTTCCCTAATATTTCCCTGTAATATTTCTGCCTCCAGCTTGAGTGAATGCCCAACATAGCCTCAGTTTTGCTGTTTGCAAAATAGCCTGGTTGATGCTGAGGGCGCACCTTGATGGAAGCATCCTACATGGTAGCGGTTCTTCACCAGGCAGGGTTTTGCCTCCCTGAGAGCATCCTGTAATGGCATGTCAGGAGACATTTTGGATGTCACAGCTGGCCTGGAGGGATGGGGTCACTGGCATTTAGTGGGGTCCTGACCAGGGATGGTACTAAATTTCTGCAGTGCACAGGAATGTCCTATGCAACCATAAGAAATTACCCACGGGGTCAACAGTGTAGAGGCACAGAAGATCTGCCAAGTGGCCTGGCTGCTAAGGGTAATCAGCACCAGAGACATCACCTGGGAGCCACTTGTAAATGTAGAAGCAGCGATTCCATTCTACCCCAGCCCAGTGAGAATCTGCATTTTAACACAAGTGCATGAGTGTTTGAGAACCTACTGTAAGGATCTGAGACATTAACAAACCCGGTCATAGCACATGTGAACTTCACCAGCCAAGAGGAATTCAAGTAGAATTCAAAGAATAAAACCCTGTTTTAAACTCAAGACAGAATTACGCTGAGCTTTACCCAAAGCCTCAACAGAATTAACACTGGGAAACATATGTTGAAACCTCATGTTCACCAGAGGCTTCACAGATCTGTAAACCTTCCTGCATACTCTGTGTATGTGTAGACTGTTGACCTGCTTGTTTATGTATATAATTTCTTCATTTCAAAACTCTGCCCATTAGGATAAAGAATTTGCATTTCACTAATTTAAAAAAAGAAAAAATCCTTCAGGTCAGAGAGGTAAGGCTACTAGCCGAAGTCACACAGCTAGTAAGCCAAGCTGAGATATGACTCAGGATTGATCCGATTCTAAATATAAATGATGTTGAGCTCATCTTAAATTGTGAATGTGACCTTGTTCCTGCTTATCATATTGCTGGGTAGCTCACTTGAATTTTCTTTTAAAAAGGCACACAAAAACCAGTCTCTTCATTTTATGAACACAGAGATACAAATTGATGAATTCCAAAGGAAAAATACTCCCTATAGAGGTCGCTAATTGGAGCCAACGGTGTACACAGCTACTAAATTTGAAATGAGTCATTTTCAGAAAACTTCTGGGATACGTAAGTATAGATTGTAGACATGATTTTTCCTTCTTCGGTTGTCAAAAAGTTAAATTGTCGAATATATTTCTTACCTTCTAATGGAAGGTCCAGAGAACCTGTTCTGGGAGTCTCATGAATATTAAGGCCAAACAAGATATCTCATCAAAATTAAATTTATTAAACTTCTAAATGAGCTTGATTCCTAATTCTGATTCTAAACTTGCACAAAGTAATGCCCTAAAGTGATGAATGTGACTTAAATGGAATTTACAAGGGTGGAGCTCACGTTGTTACCCAATTCTCTGATCTAGTCAGATAACCAAGATTTAGTGCTATTTGGAAAAATATGCCATAGCACTTTTTATTCCCTTCCCTCATTTTCTATCGATTTCCTCCTTTCCTGCCCTACCTCTTCTTTGAGGTGGTAAGGCCTTGCAAAACTTGCTTGGCAATATACTTTTGCTTATGCCGTTCTTTCTCACAAAATGTATGAATAGAAACTACAGCCTTCCAAAGTATACCACTTTAATCTACCAGATTATGCCTGTTGTCATTCTTTAGTACCTTACTTCAGTATATCTCTTGTTTGCATAACAATCTATCATCAGTTTATAATGAGTTATTTTGCAGTAGGTCTGTTTTTTGTGAATTTTGAATGCATTTTCCTAGGAAGTTGTGTTTGTAGATGTAGCCCCAATACTTGCTTACTTGGGAAAGTAAAATTACAAACAAATAGTTGCATGAAGAATGGTTATCATTACAGAAGACGCTTGTTTAATCAGAGAATGAGGAAGTAAATGGAAATTTTACAGGAAATGTTGACCAGGAAGAAAACCAGGGCACTTTCCCATGCTTTTGACATGTATGATGCTGTTAGTTGTCCTTTTTTTTTTTTTAATTTTAATTTTTATTTTTAAAAAGCACCTGTGGGATTTGATTTCTCTTGACCGAGGAAACAGTCAGTTATGATTCAATTAATATTAATAACTCTAATAACTCTGGCTCTCGAATGCCATTCAGAAAAGGAGAAGAAGGGACTGAGATTAGTTATAAACTGGAACAAGATTTTGAATGAAGATGGCAAGTATTAAACTATCTCAGCAGCTGGACAGGAGGGATGATTCACTTTGTAAATAACTGAAATTAGGAGCACAAAAGATGGTCCCGGTTTCTTTAAAAAGAGAAGACAGTTTGGTGTCGATAGCAGCTTTGTCTCATAGAATAGAGTGGGGCCAGGTAAAATTTTCTGGGTGCAACTTTTAATAAGTGAAAGATACAGATGACATTGATTCAGATGATGTATGTTATATATCATAATGTATCAAAAATGGTACTTAATACAAAGTCAATATAAGAAAATCATTGAAGTGTTTGACATTAATTTTGATACTAGGTTCTCAAAATCTGTATGTATTTTATACATAAACAACACATCTCAGTTTGAACTAACCTCATTTGAAGTGCTCTGTAGCCTCACTTGGTGAGTGGCTATTGGCTTGGACAGCATGGATCTAGGTCTTTGTGGAGCAACCCATGATACCTGTTGATAATGGCTGTGCTGGGAGGGCCAGCCAGAGGGTGGGTGTTAAGAATATTCAGAATTAGGAATTGTGGTGTATGTAAAATGTGGCATGTGTAAAATGTGTTTTATTGGAATCTAATACAATTTTCTTTAAAGTTCTTTTAAAAAATCAAAGGAAAATAAGCTATTTTCAAATTCTTAAAACATCATAAAATAATAAGGTAGATTGCAAAGAGTAGTAAGAACATTTGCAATATTGACCATAATATACTATGTCTTTATAAATCGAGATCAACGAATAATCTGTTGTTTCGGGAAACTCAAAAGATTTCTGGAAACCAAGCACAAGACGTGTACCTGTTAAGGGTCCAAAGAGATTTGGAGTAAGATGCTGTACTGTATGTTGGAGAAGCAGCATATAATTGTATACTTAGCTGCGTTTGGTTCTGTTTTCTAGTGGACCTGAACCATGCCAACTTTAAGTTACTGTAATAAGTGGTTGTTTGTCTGCTACAGCTGTTTCTGTTTCTAAAATAATTGAGAAGGGCTAAGACTTAAATTGCAAAATTCTGCAGATAAGTAGAGTTTTGTCCAGCTTGCTGCACAACTTAAATATTCAGCAGATTTCTAGGCATGCAGGTGTAAAAATACCTTTTTTCTTTTTTCTAGGTCTCCCTTTCAAATAAAAATAGTATGGTTTTATTTAGAATCTTCACATAAACTGGATACAGGCATACCTGAAATTTTGTGGATTCAGTTCCAGACCATCACAGTAAAGCAAACATTGCAATAAAGTAAGTCACACGAATTTTTTGATTTCCCAGTACACATAAGGTTAGGTTTATACTACCCTGTATTCTATTAAATGTACAATAGTATTATGTCTAAAAAATGTACATACTTTAAAAATGCTTTATTGCTAGAAAAAATAAAAGTGCTAGGGATCATGTCATCCTTAGTGAGTTGTAATTCTTTTGCTGGTGAAAGGTGTTGTCTGCACGTTGACTGTTGACCAGAGTAGTGGTTGCTGAAGACTGGGGTGGCTGTGGCAATTTTTAAAAATAAAACAGCGACAAAGTTTGCCACATCAATTGACTCTTCCTTTTACAAAAAACTTCTCTTTTGGCGTGGTATCTTATGCCTGTAACTCAGCACTTTGGGAGGCAGAGGCAGTTGGATCACTTGAGGTCAGTAGTTCGAGACCATTCTGGCCAACATAGTGAAGCCCTATCCCTACTAAACATACAAAAAATAAAAACAAAAACAAAAAAAACCCTCAAATATATAGACAGGCGTGGTGGCACGTGCTTGTGGTCTCAGCTACTCGGGAGGCTGAGGCAGGAGAATCACTTGAACCTGGGAGGCTGAGGTTGCAGTGAGCCGAGATTGTGCCACTGCACTCCAGCCTGGACCGCAGAGTGAGACTCTGTTAAACAAAACAAAACAAAACAAAACAACAAAACAGTGAATTGGAGTCAGTCCTCTCAAACTCCACTGCTGCTGCTGCTTCTTTATCAACTAAGTTTATGTTAATATAGTGAATCTTTTGTTGTCACTTCAACAATGTTCAAGGACATCTTCACAAAGAGTTGATTTTTGTCTCCAGAAACCACTTTCTTTTCTCATCCCTAAGAAGCAATGTCTCATCAGTTCAGGATTTCATCCTGAGATTATAGCAATTTAGTCAAATCTCCAGGTTTCACTTACAATTCTAGTTCTCGTCCTGTTTCCATCACATCTGCATTTACTTCCTCCACTGAAGTCTTGAATCCCTCAAAGTCATCCATGAGGACTGGAATCAGCTTTTTACAAACTTCTGTTAATGTTGGTATTTTCATCTTTTTCCATGGATCATGAATGTTGTGAATGGCATCTGGAATGTTAAATCCTTTCCAGAAGGTTTTCCTTTTACATTCCCTAGATGCGTCAAGAGAAATCACTATCTATGGCAGCTGTAGCCTTAAGAAACTCATATCTTAAGTAGTAAGACTTGAAAGTTGAATTTACTTCTCATTCCATGAGCTGCAGAATAGACACTGTGTTAGCAGGCCTAAAAACAATATGAATCTCCTAGTACATCTCCATCAGAGCTCTTGGGTGACCATGTACATTGTCAGTGGGTAGAAATATTTTGAAAGAAATTTTTGTTTTGGAGCAGGAATTGTCAATAGTGGGCTTAAGATATTCAGTAAACAGTGCTGTAAACAGGTGTACTGTCATCCAAGCTTTGCTGTTCCATTTACAAAGCCCAGGCAGAGAAGAATTAGCATCATTTTTAAGGGCACTAGGATTTTCAGAATTGTGAATGAGCGCTAGCATCAACTTAAAGTCACCATCTGCATTAACCCCTAGCACAAAAGTCTGCCTGTCCTTTGAAACTTTCAAGCCAGGCACTGACTTCTTTCTAGCTGTGAAAGTCATGGGTGGCATTTTCTTCCAATAGAAGCCTGTTTTGTCTACATTGAAAATCTGTTGTTTAGTGTGGCCACTTTCATCATTGATCTATTAGCTAGCTCTCCTGGTAACTTGCTGCCGCCTTTCCATCAGCATTTGCTGCTTCACCCTGCACTTTTATGTTATGAAGATGGCTTCTTTCCTTAAACCTCATGAACTTCTGCTAGATTCAGACTTTTCTTCTGCAACTTTCTCACATGCCTCAGCCCTCGTAGAAGTGAAGAGAATTAGAGCCTTGCTCTGGATTAGGCTTTGGCTTGAGAGAATGTTGGGCTGGTTTGGTTTTCTACCCAGATCATTGAAACTTCCTCTATGTCAGCAATAAGGCTATTTCATCCTCTTTTCATTCATGTGTTCACTGGGGTAGCACGTTTAATTTCCTTGAAGAACTTTTCCATTGCATTCACAACTTGGCTAATTGGGTGCAAGAGGTCTAGCTTTCAGCCTGTCGGTTTCTGACATGTCTTCCTCACCAAGCGTAAACATTTCTAACGTTTGATTTAAAGCGAGAGATGTGTAACTCTTCATTTGAACTGTTAGGGGCCTCTGTAGGGTTATTAATTGTCTTGATTTCAATATATTGTGATTCAGGGACTAGGGAGACCTGAGGAGAGGAAGAGAGATGGAGGTGTCTGGAGCAATCAGAACACACATAACATTTATCCATTAAGTTCTCTGACATACATGGTCGCCTTGCATGGTGCTAAAAACAGTGACAGTAGTAACCTCAAAGATCACTCAGCACAGATTGACATAACATGTAATAATGAAACGATTTGACATATTGAAAGAATTACCAAAATGTGACACAGCGATGTGATGTGAAACATGCTGTTAGAAAAATGGTGCTAGGCTGGGCATGGTGGCTCAAGCCTGTAATCCCAGCACTTTGGGAGGCCGAGACAGGTGGATCACGAGGTCAGGAGATTGAGACCATCCTGGCTAATCCGGTGAAACCCCGTCTCTACTAAAAACTACAAAAAACTAGCCGGGCTAGTCCCAGCTACTGGGGAGGCTGAGGCAGGAGAATGGCGTAAACCCAGGAGGCGGAGCTTGCAGTGAGCCGAGATCCGGCCACTGCACTCCAGCCCGGGCGACAGAGCCAGACTCCGTCTCAAAAAAAAAAAAAGAAGAAGAAAGAAAAATGGTGCTGAGGCAAGGCGGGATGGCTCATGTCTGTAATCCCAGCCCTTTGGGAATCTGAGGCGGGCGCATCACCTGAGGTTGGGAGCTCAAGACCATCCTGGCTAACATGGTGAAACTCCGTCTCTACTAAAAATACAAAAATTAGCCAGGTATGATGGCACACCCCTGTAGTCCCAGCTCATCAGGAGGCTGAGGCAGGAGAATCACTTCAACCTGGAAGGTAGAGGTTGCAGTGAGCCGAGATTGTGCCACAGCAGTCCAGCCTGGGACAGAGCAAGACTCTGTCTTACAAAGAAAAAGAAAAAGAAAAATGATGCTGATAGATTTTCTCGATGTAGCATTGCCAAAAACCTTCAATTTGTAAAAAACAATCTGTGAAGCACAATAAAATGAGATATTCTTATTTAGTCATGGGGTAGCAGAGCATTGTTGTTTTTTTGAGCCAGATTTATGCTTTTCTCCTTGAAAACCTATGTGTTAGAATTTCTTTGGTCCTTTTTATCTTTGTGATTATTCACTCTACTCTGATTCTATTTCTTTGTTTTTAAACTGCTATAATTTATGTACTATTTTCTGTCATTTTTCAGGAGTAGATGGAGACTTAAAGCATTGTAAAGGAGTAAGGTAAATTATACTTCCTAAGAAATCTGTGAATACTTGCTGGTGATTTATATGATAAGTATTTGTTAGCTATAGAGCAGGAATTTGAACTGAAAGCAATCCTTATATCGATGCTCAGGCAACTGGTCAGATCTTCTGATGAGATGTTTGAAAAGTGATTGATAGATGGTCTAGAGGTTGAAAGCACAAAACTGTTATCCTGGAATACATTAAACTTGAAAATAATGATCGTACCATCAGCTATAAGGGAATTTCAGTGATTAATAAATGCAGCATTTAATATGTTAAGAGCTTCCTTTAATAGTGTTGAAATGCTGGAGGGGGCAGCCTTAGTTTTGTGTTGCAGGTATTTGAGGTTTAAAATTGCCTTGTTGGTACTTAAACAACATTTTTCTGAAGACACTGTAATCCTAACACGTGTATTTCTCCTGTGTAAGAGCACAAAAAGGCAAAGTTTGTTTTCTTTTTGGATTTTCATAGCTGGACTATCCGTGTGGTTGCTCTTTACATACCTTTTCAGCAGTGTCTGGCAGGTTGATCACCACCTTCCCTGATCCTACTGTATCCCCTGTCTCCCTTGTGTCCTTTGCTGTGATGCCAGCAGTGAGTAGCAGCTAAGGACTTGGGTGCAGCTGACCACGTGGCAAGGTGCCCACGCATGGGAGGAGGGTGGTCACCTCTTCACAGCCATGCCTGTCAGGCAGTTTCACGGCATTGCTTGTGGCGCTTGGAGGGGCCCTTGACTTCCTTCTCTGAGTCCTGGGAGCTGGGCCAAATGATACGCCGTATTGTGATCAGTGATGCCCGTTTGAAAAACACTGCAGATGACACAGTTGGTCAAAAGTTTGCTGTTTGATTCCCAATAGAGTGTACAGTGTGCCTATGAAGGTGAGAGCAAATGATCATGGTTGGTACATTGAAGCTTATCTGAAGCCTTCAGATAAAAGCCAAAATAAGCACCACCCTCCTTCCCACTTGTGTGAGCTGCCATGCATGTGTATGAGAACTACATGGTCCGTGAGTACTGTACTCCTGTCTGCTCTCTAGCCCAGCCCTTTCTCTCCAGCAGACCTTTCTGCTAGGATGGAAATATCCTATAATTGTACTGCACCTGGTAGAAGCCACAGCTGAAAACTGGGCTCCTGAAATGAGGCTCATGCAACTGAGGACCTGAATTTCTTATGTTATGTACTTAATTTTAAGTAGCCCCCAATGACTAGTTGCCAAAATGTGACATAGATACACAAAGTGAAGAGTGGACAGCACAACTATGGAGGAATGCATTCACTCATCCTTAATCTATTTAGAAAATAATCTGCTGGGTTATACAAAGCCTTCAAAATTAGTCTCTTCCTTTAAGGATCTTAAGAGTCCTGCTGGAATCTAAAACATGATTGGTAAAATCTGTGAATAATTATTGGTGATTTACATTTAAGAATGTGTTAGCCACAGAGCAGGATTTTGAACTGGAATCATGTTGTGGATAGCATACTGTCAAGGATAGATGGGAGTCAAGAAGAGAAATGGATATTCTTGACCAGGAGAAGTGGCCAAACCATAGGCATTGTTTCTA